AAGAAAATAATTGGAATAATTAGGATAAAGAGAATAAATTCAAACATATATAATATACTAAGCTTTTATTATAATTCCGGTTCACCATCATTCGATATTTGTGTACGGTGCCAATGTTATTGTGCAACAATATTTAGTAGTTAATGGATCGTCATTCGTAGTTTAAAAATTAGCTAAAAAATGACCTCTTCCGCACTAATTGCTGATTATAATTTATGTGATTCTTCCCCAGATGTACACCCAAATATATATGACATTCTAAGGACCCAGCCACTACTTGAGGGGCATGAGGAAGAACCATCGCATATTATTAATAAAGAACACATCACAAGAATAGCTTCTTGGATTGGGGAAAGTGAGTTCTACGAGTTTCGACTAGCCTTTCGCGGCAGCCGAGATGGATACAAAGTTGACGATTTTATTAAGATGTGTAGTAATAAATCAAAAACGGTACTGGTTTTAAAGGTGAAAGATACAGATGAAATTCTAGGGGGCTATAATCCAATTGTGTGGAAAAAAGAAAAATCCTCAAGATTTCGAAAAACAAATGAAAGCTTTATTTTCTCGTTTAATGAAGGGAACACAACATTAAGTTGTGTGGCTAATCCAAAGAGGGCAATATATTATGACAATAGTTTTGGACCGTCTTTTGGATTCAATGACCTTACCTTGAAGTCCACTACATTTGTCAAAAACAAGTGGTTTTCTATGAAACAGAATTATCGATTGCCGATAAGGTCGTCAGGTGTATCTTTTGAGGTCGAAGACTATGAAGTATTTGAAATATTTGATAGCAATTATAACCATTTCTCAAGTATTTATAATTATAACAACAACGATTGAACCTTATAGTTAATTCGCACATGTTCCGCTGATTAAACATTGTTTAATAACGAACGATGGTTTACTGTAAGCAAGGGTATTATCATGGTCATCAAAACAAAATTACAATACTGTAGTTAGCCCTATATTTAGATCGCAGGGTAATATTCTCTACTTACAACAATCTTGGATGAAATTTTAAAACATAAAAGCACCTTACATTAATATATGCCCGTTGAATGTCGTAACGAATTTTAATTATTTATTGATATTACCGTTACTGATATACTGTAAATTAATTTTAAATGCTGTGTATTTAAATAATATGTTATTTATTAATTTTATAAATTATAATCATTCCTGTACCTTCTTCCTAAAACTGTATGTTGTAGGATCTATACAATAAACTTTACTATTGTAAAATAATCCATTGTTCTCGGTGATAAAGAAAATCATATAAATGTGTATGTACTAATTTCAGACTACTGATCACACACTACATTGTGCAAATCTTGAATACCGATATTGCAAAATGAATTGTAACATATATACTAGAAATAAAAAAAAATTGACGCTTCAACTTACCATAATTATATGGTTAGCGTTATCGGCGAGTCTGTCGTTAATCCGTTCTTCTTGAGGCATTGCATGATTTGGTAAAGTTGCCAATGATGATTCTTTTTTTACTTCACAAGTCTCTTGGCAGCCTCACAGAATTGGCTTAATTTTTTTTATTATTATGAGCAATTACATTTACTGATTAAAGATCTAACTCTAACCTAATCTGCAATTTTAAATTATTTAAAGTTTCCTTTTATATTATCCACGACGTGCTTCATTAATATAAGTTGTGTCACGAAAATCTCCGATGACGAACTTTTACTCCACACTGATGCATGACTGAAGAATCAGGTGGCATCGCGCCATACCCACACCAGAGCTAACAATTTTTTCCAATAACAATGTAATATTTTGGTAACTCTATAAATTTCTGCTAGCATTTCTTTCAATTATTTATATTTGATGCTTATTTTCTTTCTATAGCTCTAATATTCACACGCCTAGTTTAGCAAATACATATCTACTGTGGGGGCGTAACGGCGAGTCGGTCGCTAAGAAGGATAGGATTTCGCGTAACCACGGATAAGGTGAGTAATACTTAAGGTGGAGGAGGCGTGTTTTGATTTGGTCGAGTATTTTTTATTTTACCATTTGTATTGTTATCCCTTTATTAGCTCTTGTCTCTTTCTTTTTATAAGTGCGGCTATACTCTCTAAGAACAATAGGTAAGCTGAGTTCTTCCCCCACATTAGATAATCGTGCACCGCCGACCTTGAGCAGGCGACAATCAGTCACGTGATAGATGTCGCGTCTTAACTCACTACATTGACCTCATACTGGTGAGAGAGAATTAATAAAATAAGGTAGATTAAATTTAGCGAAATCTATTGCATTGAATTGCCTTTAAGTGTAATTATAATATGTCAACGAGATACTTTTGCGATGTATGATTAATTTATAATATTAAGACAGTGAAAACATACCAAAAATAATAAAACCGCAAATATACTTAATTTATTAAGGCCATGCTCATTAAAATAGCATACCTCAAATTGTAATAAAGCCATTTTTCCATGACATTTAAAAGGAAAGTTTGGAGACAAGCATAAAAATACATTACTATAATAATAGAAAGATCAATTAAAAATGAGAGTAAAATACATTTTTTATTCGCACCTTTTGCTTATATCGACAGCCAAAATATATTTTATTTTCTTGCTTGATCCAATCACTATACAATTAATAACTTTAAACATTTGGCTTCTTTAATTATAAAGACAAAATATATTGAAGAAGAAATCGTGAGAATTTATACAATACTCGTAGTGGAATTTTTTGCTATTAATGTTTTGGTATTCCAACATCACAAGATTTATGACTGTTAACTGCCATCACTAAAACTTTTTCTTAGTAATTTATTTCATGCAATAAAGGAACATTAAATCAATACAAAGAACTTGTCAAAACAATATCTTCACCTGACTATTAGATCAAAGAATATAAGTATTGTGCATATACAATACTGCATTTCGAATTTATATGGTGAAAATAATTCAAAATCAATCCTTTCATGGATAATTGAGAAATTAGATGATGCTAACATAGATATATACAGTATGCTTAGTATAAATTTATACTAAAAAACATTTAATTTATTAAGTTTTTTTTAAAATACAGTTTGTAAACTACATTTGTTGAAATAACGGTGAAGAAATTTGAGTTCCCTTTAGCAAACCAATGTTGTACGAGAAAATCTGAACTGATTATTATAATGAATTTACGGACAAGCTTTTTTTTTTTGTAAAATAGGTTTATTGAGAAAAGAAAAGTTATGTAAATATATTTTTTTTTTTGTAAGTCGAATTTTAATTCAATAGAAGTTTAAGATTATCGCGTATCGACATTACATAATGTATTGCTATGATGGAAGCGATCGTAATAGTATGATAGTGCTTGACATGTTTTGGAAGTCATAACGCTCTATTAGTATGGTATGAATGCGTGTCATATTCTTGATTATTTAGATTTCGTCTAATAGAGGTACCCAATGGTTTTGAATCTTCCAGAGGGAAACTTCCAAAGCACAAAGTTTATTTGATCTTATTGACACATTGCATAACCCCCTAATCATCAGTACAAATCAAAGGAATCATAATGATCATGCCCACATGTAACGCCACCATGTACAGTATATCAGAGAAGAAAGAAACAAGTAGCTCAATTGAAGTTTTTCCGCCGCCGCACATTTATGCCTCATAGAAAGGATTTGGTGCATCTGCTCTTGTCGTTCGGGTTTTTTTATGCTACAATATTTTTGCCATATAAAATATATAAAAAAACAAAAGATTTTGGTTCGAGTAACGTAGCATAATTTTTGGTGTGATAATCCCTAAGATTTATTCGGAATTCATAGGATACTGACTAGCATCATCCGATTTCATGATCATCCGCGAATTTATTAAGAAATAGCACAAATGCTGTTAAACAGTAACTTTACTTAAACTCCTTCAAAATGAAGTAATACATAGTAATACAATCAAATAAAAATTTTAATTTAGTTTTACTTAAAATATGTTTTTTTTTTTATGAAACAGTATACAGTTCTTTTAAAAAAATATAATTCTATGTTGGTAAATAAAAAAAAAACGAAATTTCGATTTTCGTTTGTAGTTGAAATTTCAATACATTTTTTTTCAACAAAATATTCTCAAATACGTAAATATTTACAACAAATCATCATTCTCGATCAACACAAAATAGATAACCAATTATAATTAAGTTCATGGATTCTTAAATAAACATTTGCCAACATTTGTAAACGCCAATTTAAAAACAGAAAAACCATTTTCATTTAATACTATTACAATAAAAAGCATGATCGAATTAATAAGCGGATTTGCTTTCCCAGTCCGCTTGGAATTATTGTGTCAACGTTGAAAACTTTATCCTCACGACCAATTTCTTTTTCCAGAACACTTGTAAAGAATAACTTCAGTGATACCAAATTTCTCATCTATGCCGATAATCTGGCAATAGTTGTAACATAATAATCATGTTAACTCAAATATTCGCCAGTCCAATTGCTCAAATTTAAAACCATACGACGCCGTGACATTTACACATTCTCTGATTGCACCTCCATATGCTTATTTTACTCCGTGAATGCAATTGAATATCTTGCATATACAGTATATATTGTCAAAACGGTGTTCTGCATCTTTCGTCCTAGATCCCTTGTGTGACCCTAGTCATCCTTTTCCACTAAATATTCAAAAAAAAGATGTCCATTAATTAAAAAATTTTCATATTTGGAAACTACTTATTATTTGTTCATTTATAAAATCATTTTCTGTTCAAATAAAATTTTACTGCCAAATAATAAATTACATTTTTAATTTGACAACAATAAAGAGATCATTAAACTTATATGACCTTATTTCTATCCCTAGTATGATGGTGATACTAAATTGGACTTTTCAATTACTCCATGTCACTCGCTACTGTAGTATGATTGTTGAGATTTTTGGGCACGCGATGTCTAATAATTTTGCCATCAACAATGCTGACTATGATATACAATATGTGGTTTTTTTCATGCTCGATGTCGGCATGAGGTATTAAAAGGATCCTGCCTTCTCCCAGAACTGACTATCAAAAAACCCTTTTATTCTGTCCCAAAATCTGGTCATTACAAAGATAGTATATGCGGTGCTAAAGAGTTCGGCATAATGGTGAGTAGGTAATCTATACTTAAATCCTAATAATCGATAGATACACATTGCCGAGAGTTGTAATATATCAATTGAAAAGAGAATTATCTGATGGATAATATCTCGATAATTTTGTCCATTTTTGGTATTTTTTACAATGTGAAGAAGTTCCCTGTAAAAGAGAAACTCGAGAATAATGTAATAAATACGAAAAAAGGGTACCATCATCTGTCGTATAGCCGAAGAAATCGGTATAAACAAACAACCTGGGCTACAATACGATCCATTGCACTTGACAGCATCCATAGTGGTTATTATTACCAAAGAAATTAATTCTAAGGCGCGTAATGCAACAATAATATGATGGAAGCGTTCAAACGCTAGTCTTCGAACTGGTTCGTAAACTGATTTACATCGTTCATACGAAAGATGTAGAACACCCGTTTTAGCAATAGTATATGCAACGTATTTAATTGCATCCGCCGAGTAAAATAAACGTACAGAGGTGTAATCAGAACACCTTGTAAAACTCACAGCGCTAGCGCGGCAGCCTGGACTTTCCCTAGCATTTGAACAATT